CCCCGACTAAGATTAGCCACCGATGTATCTAATCTATTCATCTAAGCCTCCTGCTTCTCCAACCTATCTCTCACATCTCCAAATGCCCTCTCAAACCTCTGTACTAAATCTTCTGATGCATTGCTATTATTGTCTTGTCGGCTTGAGTTTGATTCTGCCCTTTCTGACATCCTAACACTAAAAATTTTATTTTACTGCCTCACCAAAAGTCACTCGGAACACACAAGGGCTTTTACCCTCTATTAATCTCACCTTTCTGCCTTTTACCACTCAGTTCTTTCAACAATTGCTTTTAGGAACAATCAATGAACTCAATCAATTAATCAAATCGTGTAGAATTCCCCAAACCGGATGTGACTCAATAATTGTAACAAATGACTCAAAGAAAACTTTTAAAACTTGACTTGAATTGAAGGAATGGAATGATTCAATGTGTCCAAGTAATTTAGAAACGATATTGAATAATAAAAGTTGGTATTTGATGGATCAATAATATTTAACAATTTTTTTACTGTACGGATGAACAGTACCGTATGGATGAACAGTAATTTTTTTCAGATTCGGGAATCAATAACAAAACCAACAAATAAAACGAAAACTGATTTGGGCGAAAATTGAGCCCAGAAACGGAATTTGAATATTTTTTTATGAAACTTTTGGATCAAAGGATCAAGAAAATCTTCTGGATACAAGAACACAAGGAATTGAAAAAAATTAAAAAACAAAGGATATAACCTGATTAAATTGGAGCCAAAGTTTTGATACCAACTGCTGCGAACCCCGTAGCAATGGAAACTACGAAACCCACAACAAGATTGATGCGGAACCCAAGAACACCAATACTGACCCGATTTTGGATCTTGAACCCCAAGAATTGAACCAAGAAACCCTAGATTAGCGAAAAACCTAAAACCCCTTGATTACAATTAAAAGAACCCATAATCCGATTGTTTAGAATGCCACAAGAAATTGAATTTTGATAAGTTCCAAAATTATTCAAGAAGAACAAGAAATTGAAAGAACAAATTCTCTCTCTATAATATTATTCAAGCAAAAAAAAAGTCAAAAGTCTTTACAATGAAAAGTATTCTCCTATTTATACTAATGAGTAAAAATGTCCAAAACCCATCAAATTATGGTAATAATTTGATTTCATAAGAATTCTATCGAAACTAGGAAATTCGGCCAAAATTAGAAAATTCGCCAATTTTTTTGGCTTGTGTGACCACATGGTGTATTTCCATGTGGTCGCATGGTTCAACAAGAATTGGTGTTTTGATTTTCGGTATGCCACCGTGGGGCCGCATGGTGTTTTGCCTGTGCGTGTTGATTCGACCTTCGACCCCAACATGAAAGTTGCTCCATTTTGAGTCCCGAACATGGTTCCATCAATGGTTTCTTGAATGAGCAATCCCATTGCTTGTTTCACTTGCTTTGCCCTTGATCGTGTCATTGATCCGCCATCGACTATCAACGGGTCTCGTCTCGCACTTGCATTCGTCGAACTCGACTCCTGGATCATATCAAATAGTTCCTTCCATGTCTCTTTACATCACTTGTGCCTTTCCAAACACTAGGAGATACACCTATTCCAGTAAAAAGAAGTTTCAGCCCAAAGAAAGTCTAGTCAGCTGTCAGCTGAGTCCTGAGATTGATGCACACATCACATACCTGATCATAATGAGCAGTGGCGAATGTAGCTATTGGCCAGTTAGGGCGGCCGCCCTAACTGGCTTTGCCAGAACTGTCGACCGCTTGCCGCCAGGTTGTTGCAGGGTTGGTGGTGCGCACAGGCACAATAGTCTGCAGAGTGGGAAGCCGAACGGAGAAGAAGACTCCCAAATTTCCTTTTTTTTTTCGTTTGGGCTATCTGATTGGAGATTGGGTCTTTAAAAAAAAAACTTTAGGCGCAATTGCCCAAATAAGCAAATTGAAACCAGATCCAAGTGATTTGTCATTCCCCCAACCCTCAATTTGAATCCGGCAGCCAAGTGAAAATAGCAAACCCTTAAATTTCCATTCGAAGCAGAGCTATAGCAGCTGGAGGCGGTGGCTGTTGGACCGTGTACTACCAGTGTGCGAAGTCAGGGATGATTCTCTGACCGACAAACTCCGAGGATTGGACTTGGACTCTTGGAGGCGACTGGTGAGTTGAAATTTGAATAACTTGAAGTCTTGCTTGAATACTACAATTTGCAAACCCTTTGTTGATTTGTCGATTTGTGCAAACTTTTTGTTGATTTGTCAATTTGCAATTCAACGATTCAAATTTATTTTCGCTGGTGCTGTTGTGCAACTGCAATTTGCAAACTCTTTGTTGTTTATTGAGTGTGTTGATGGTGACTTAACTCTTGAGTCTGTTGACTGACTTGAGTGTTTTTCTTGTTTGATGCAATGAATTGATTTCTTTTGTGTTATTAGTTATGATTTATTAATCGGTCGACATTCAATTAATCAATGTTTAATTCATATAGAAAAGGAAATTAGGATTATGGAGTTGCTACTAAGAATTGTGATTTTACTCAAAAGTCTCAGTGGAGTTACATTGGTTCTTTTGTTGGATCAATTACACTTAAAACCTATGTCAATCAATTTAAAAACTTATTTCCCTTACCCCAATTCTGTGGATTTTCATGTATTATCCAATAAGTCTCTCTATAGTGTGTTGAGACTTTGGATAAATATATTTATCAAACCACAACTTGTCCTTTCCGTTCCTATTCTTCCTGATATTTTTATAAATACTTACCAGATCCATACCAGTTATGTATATACAATACACAAACTTCAATATTTAGGCATCTAAGCATCACATGTGAGCTTGCTTTCTTGCCTCCCTCATAACATTGCCATGAAGCTCCCACAATGACAACAATCAGCAGTAGATCCTGACCTAATATCCTTCCACAAATTTGATTGTATTGATAGTTTAGGCCTCGTAGAACTTTAAAATCTGATCCTTCTATTGTATTTGCTTGAATCTTACTGTCTTAGACGACATCTCCTTTATAATAAGCATAAATATCCATCTCTAGCCACAAACAATTTTTAGCATTATAGTAGAGTCTACCGATATAATGACAGGCTTTATCTCAAGAACTTGATACATCGCACCAAAGTTGGGCATCAATCCATCATCTCACCCACTAGTATTTCAAAGTTGATAAGTAAAAAAATAAAACTATAAAATCTAATTCCATGGTGTTAACTAACTAGCCTATAACCATGGAATTCTTTGCATACCAAGTCGAGAAACCCACTTCTATAGCATCTAACAGACCCATCTTTCTTCTACCATTTATGAACAGCTTCGCCACCTAAGAACTAGAAAAACTTCTTTCCATTTAACCTGGATAATAATATGAATTGGTGCGCTTCAACTTGAGTAAAAAAATGTTTTCAAGCCAAGCCTTCAATGGTTAATAGTCAAAGTCAATCTCCGCCCTAGCTAAACGTGGATGCTAGATTCGCCCCTGAATGAGCACATTTCTTTTCTAGGTATTATTGACTTGTACAGTTGTGCCCATAACCAATTTTGCTTGAAATAGATTGTGAAGTTTGCGCCTTCTCAATACCTTAAAATCACCTATAAATCTTTTAATAGAGGATGTATCGATGTGCGTTTTCCGTAACACATGATGTAATAGTTATATTGAATATTTCTCTTCTATTATTTATTTCAGGAGCTGTCAAAAATTGTCGCCAAACAGGCTGAAGAAGGGAAGGTATACTTATATCCACAACATATGGCTCAAATGACTTGCTCTACCAATTTCTGTGATTTTTGGGAAGGTTCTGTTGTACTAGTTGGCCTTCGTTTTGATGTTAAAGCTATTTCATTAACGGAGATCTGCTGCATTTCTTTTTTCGGTGTGGTCTTAGAGTTCTTCTTTCCTTCAAATTTTTGGACCCTACTATAGATGCTAAAACAATTTACCTGAAAGGGGTTGGTCCCACCTCCCCCATGATGTTTGTGCGGGAGGGATACTTTTGAGTGCCTAATGCCGACTTCTTCTTCTTCTCCTCTGTTTATGTCATGCCAACAAAAAAATATTTGACTTGTGTCTTTAATTGATTCATATTCCTGGTTTGTCATACATGGCAAATTCATCTTGTTATCTCCATATAATCCAATTGCTGTTTTTGTAAGGTTGAATTCTGCTCTTTTCCCTAACTGTGAGCTGATTTATTTTCATTGTCTTGTGACTTGTAAGGTTATTAAAATTCAGTTAATCAGAATAACAAAGTGAATTAAATTTCAGCAAGTGCTAAGGATTTTTATTCAAGACTGATATACATTTGCCTTTTCCATTCACCTTCCTTTTTCAGGAGTTGCTGACAGTTTGAGAATGCTCTTATACCAACTTGTAAATTCAGAGTGTTTATCGACGCTGTGAAATGTTGAGAAGTCCATATATTTTGTTGCATATTTCTGTTCAAATCTGGGATTGTGTGTTTTATAGAAATAGGAAAAGAACGCAGAGAAAACTGATATCTGGTAGGTACACTGATCATATTTAGGATCCAAACAGTTTTAATGAGCAGTTACTTATAACTTGTACAACAATCTACAAACATTTTTCTTATAAAGATAAAGCTGATTTTATCTGAATGATTTCATATCTTTTAATATCCTTTTCTTACCGAGGTTACCTTCTATATCCTGCTTGAAGCAATTTTGTCTTTTCCATATTAGTATAACGCTAGTGTCTTTAGCACTTGTTTGGTTTAGTTAAAAAACAGATTTGTAGTAAATTTTGATAATAAATTTGATGACATGTATGATTTAAAAGTTGTGAATCCCACAAAATGTATGTTTTAAAATGAGTTTTAGAGAATGGGGATGCTTAATTTTATATGAGGAATTCTCTAGTGACATAAAGAAATTTCTTCATGTTGTAGAGGGACCTCATACATTTAGATTAGTCTTATAAGAAGACATGGTCTAGGTTTGAATGTCATCTTGACTGCAAGTGTCCAAGAATCCTAGATGTTCTTCGTTCCATGATTTGACATGTTCAGTCTTTCGATAGCATGAAACCAATCCAATGTATAACTCGAGAACCTCTGTTAGACGAATAAAGCTATCTAGTACCAAACGTTAAGTCATAGATCCAATCAAAAGGGCAGGTCAGGATCATTTTGGCAAATGCAATTATTGCGTTATAATTTTCGTACTACCTTTTAATCAGTTTGGAAGGGGAGACCGATTAGTATATTTGCACCCATTACTATAGGGGTGTTTGGGAGCCATTTTTATGTAAAAATGTATTTTGGAATAGTAAATTGATAGGTAATGTGTGGTTGAAAAATAAGGAATTTTTTTTATTTACGTATAATACTATTTTAATGAAGAAT